GCGCCTCGAGCGCTGGGGTGGCTGGCGTGCGCCCATCCAGCGACGGCGTTGCGCCGCCGCAGGTGAGTGTTCGTGCCGTCGCTGCTCAGGCAATCGGCGTGCCTCCTGCTGGCCCCGCGGGGCAGGGCGATGCAGCAGGTGCCCCGCGCAGCTGTTCACGAGGCGTCTCGAGTGCTGGGCCGGCTGGCATGCCCTTCCAGCGAGGACGTTACGCCGCCGCAGGGGGGGGGGGGTCGCGCCGTCGCTGCTCATCTGGCTGGCCGCGCGGGGCCCCCGCCTAAGCGTCGCAGGCGTGCCGCTCTCGAGCCGACGTCGAAGGCTCTGTGGGCTGCTTCTCCCGCGGGCGTTTCCGCCTTGCCCCGCATGCCGGTGCATTCGCCCACTGGCCGAGACGACTCGCCAGAACCGATCGCCCTTCCAGTTGCCGCGGCTGCGGCGCTCGGCTGGCGGCCAGAGGTGGCGGGCGAACCGGTGACAGTCGCGCAGCATTCCGAGGAGCGAAAAGTTGTTTCAGCACGCTGTCTCCTGGCCGCGGCACTTCGCGCCTGCTGGCTCGGATGAGCCGCGCGAGATCGACGAACTCAAATGCCCGCTCGCTGTGCTTCGCAGTTATCAGCGGCTCTTCGGCGGTGGAGTCGTCGCGCGTCTCTCGGAGCCCGGGTTGCTGTTGCCCCTGAATGCTGCGGTTCCCCCAGGGCTGACGGGGCACCCTCAGATCGACGAGAAAGCGGTTGGAGGGATCAGGTGCGTCGACTTGGGCGACAACGTCGCGCAGAGGCGTCGCGCGGCCTGCCTGGCCTGCGTCTGCGACTTGTTTGCGCATCTCTCCGAGAACGTCGAGCTGCTCCCGCCACGCCCGTGGCCCAACAAAGAGGCGCATCCGGAGCTGCTCGACGGGCATCGAGCCATCAGCAGCGCGCCCCACCCGACGTCCTTGTCGGGCATGTCGCAACGGCAGGACGCGGCCGAGCTGGAGGGGAAGCTGCACGCCCGTGCTCATCGGGCGCGCCCTGCTGGTCCGCCTGCCCCCGTTCCCTGGGCCGACGTCGAGGCCGCGCTCCTCTGCGTGCCGTCGGAGGTCGAGGTGATCGCACGGGGCATCGTGGACGCGACGGGCGACTCCTTCGCAGTGGCGCGCGCGGAGACCGTGATCCGCTCAGGAGTTGACGAGGAGAGGTTGCCGCCGTACTTCGCGCCGCGCGAGCGGCGGGCTGCCCTCTCGACGGGCCACGTGGCCCTTCGGGGCAGCAGAGGCCCCGCGCCCGCCCTGCTGCTCTGGTGCGTGTGCGGGCTGTGCGTGCGCGCCGCCGCTTGGAGTCTTTCTGCCCCAGCAGCCGGCACCGCGCCGCCTGGCCGCGGGCTTAGCACCGCGCGGCCCCGCGCCTCACGCTCGCTTTTCGTTCGGGATTCCCACTTGACTCCCGAGTGCCGCGATCGCAGATCACGATCGGTTGGTGCGTTCGAGCTGTGGGTCGTCGAGCGCGCCAGGGTGGCTCCGACCACGCTCTACCGAAATGGCGTGCTCCTGGCGGGAGCGTTGGCCACCTTCGGAGTCTGGCTGCACGACGCTGGTTTCCCCCATTACATCGTTGTGCATGCCGTGCTGGGCGTCCAGTCAGCGCGCCCCCATTGGAAGGCGTTCCTCACCGAAGCTTGGGGCGTCGCTAAGCAGTGGAAGATTGCGGGGCCTCCCAAGCTTCGTCCACCGCTGCCTCGCGCCCTTCTGCGCGCAATGGTTGGCCTCTGCCTCGCGTGGGGCTGGCCAGACTTGGCCGCCCTGCTGCTGCTCCGGGGGAACTCGCGAAAGCGAGGCGGTGCGACCTTTCCTTGCCACGGACCGTGTCGCGGCGACAGGCGACGCTTTTCTGGCCATCGCTGCGCCTGAGACCCGTCGCTCCTACCCTGCTCAGCATGCGAGGTGTTCGGATCGTCGGTCGGTGGACCTGTTCGAACGTATTCTTGGGCATCTCGCCCCCGCCGATCCCCTCGCCCTTTTCGGGTCCAGCGGCTTCGGTATTCGGTAGAACCGCTTGCTTTCGGCCTTGGGCGTCCTGCTCGCCAAAGCCGCCGCTGGATCGATCTTGACTCCTGGCTGTCTTCGAGGGTCAGGTGCCACTGGTTTGCGCCTCGCTACAGAACGCGTCCTTCGCGTCTTCTGAGCGCTACCTTCAAACTGCTGCTGCTTGGACAGTCCTTGCGTCTCTTTCCGAGGTCGCCAGGGCTCAGGTGACGTTCTTCGCCTCTGGCAGCAGTCGCTTGCTTGCCTCCTGCCTGCTCGTGGGGTCTTCAGCCTGGTCGTCCAGCTCGCGGCCGCCCGCCAAAACCTCGTCACTTCGCAAGGGCTTTGAGCATGGGTATGGCTGCGCCGCCCATGGGGCGGCCAGGGGAACTCCCCCTGAGCGCGGCGCGTCGGCGCCTTCGCGCGCGGCGGCAGGTCTGCCCCGCCGCCGCGCGCTGGGGCGTCGGCGCGCGCGCGCGGAGACCGCTCGACAGGGCGGAGCGAGATAATGCTCCTCATATTCTCTGCGACCCCCCCCGCGGTGTCTGCAGTGTTTCGCCCCCCTCCTCGCCCGCCCAGCCTTGCTGAGGCTAGAGACGTACCAGTTGCGCGGCTGTCTTCTGCGCCTGGGAGCTGTTCTGTCCCACCGGGCCTGCGTGGCTGCACCGCCCATTGGGCGGCCGGGGGAGCTCCTCCTGAGCGCGGCGCGTCGGCGCCCTCGCGCGCGGCGGCAGGTCTGCCCCGCCGCCGCGCGCGGGAGCGTCGGCGCGCGCGCGCGCGGAGACCGCTCGCCAGGGCGGGGCGAGATATTTTCTCAGATCGCAGACGTAACTTGGGAACGCGCCCCCACCACCCCACACCCGCAGGCCACAGGCCACACCGCACCCACAGGGTGGGGGGGGGGCCCAGGCCCATCGGGGGGGGTGGCAATGCCATCAGCATGGACCTGGATCATATATTCCGCACGTGAGCCCAGCCATGTGTGCTTCTAGCTCGGGGTCCCTGGAGGCCTCCCGAGGTCCTCGGAGGCTTCTGGAAGTCTTCGAAGGGCCCCAAAGGTCTCCAGAGTGCGCCTGCTCATGCTCCTCGTCATCTTTTTCTTACTCCCCCCTTTTCCTCTTCCTCGTCCTCGTAATTGTCCTTTTCGTTTTCCTCGCACTTCTGCCTTTCTCCTTTCCAATTCCCCCTCCTGGGCCGAACTGGGCCCCGACGGGCGAGCCCTACACACGCTCCCCAGAGTATCTCCCGAGACCTCCCAATGGACAGCCAGGGCTTTTGGCCGCCCCGCCGCTCCTGTGCAGCGGAAGCCAGACCCCCGATGTTTGTTTTTGGTTTGTCGAACGTCGGCCTCAGGAGGCCTTGACCCATTCTGCAGAACCTTCTTTTCATCCTGGGTCATTGTTTGACGTTCCTGGGGCCTGGCGAGTACCCCCCGAGGCCGAGGAATTAAAACACAATCTTCCTTTATGTTTTCTTTCACGACGCGAGGGGGGAGGCCGAGGAATAGAGCACCACCTCCCGTTGTTTCCACGACGCGAGGTGTCTGATTCTCGGGTCACCGCTCGGGTCTCAGGCAGCCGTTTGGAACGATCCGGGCACGCCCGGCACGCTGTCGACGAGGCGTAGCTGCTGGAGAGCATCCCGAGGTTGGAAAACGTAGATGAGAGAGAGAGAGAGAGAGAGAAGGAGAGAGAGAGAGAGAGTGAGAGGTAGAGAGAAATAACAAAAACACCGTCGCCCGGCTGCAAGAGCAGGTCTCTTGGGGGCGCTAAGAGCGCGCGGGTGGGCCTGAAAGAGGCACCATCGCAACGACGTGACGTAAAGCATGATGACAGCGCCACTGCTCCCGCAATTTCCAGGCATAGGCCCACCAATATTCTTGACGGCAGGTCATTGGAAATCGTCTGATCAACGCAGGACAGGTCCCCCCTGTCGGCGGTGAGCTTCAGTCCGGAGACATGGCTTCCACGAGAGTAATCTGCTGTTTCACTTGCTGACATCCCGTGCCTGCAAGTTGTTGAAGGCCTCTTGTTTGCGCTGCGTCTGCGTCAGGAGCCAGTCTTTGGCCCCTAACCGAGCAGCGCGCGAGCAGACAAATCTTGTGGACTGACGCACGTACCGCACACATGATTCTGAATCTTTCCTTGGCACTTGGAAGTTTTTGCGCATAATTTGCCTCCACGTCGTCTGGATTCTCTGTGCGTCTGAATTTTTAAGCACCCAGGTGGAGCACGCGTACAGGGAAGACGGCGTGAAAACAGAGTCGAGCAGCTTCAACCTTGATTCCAATGGGTACCTCTTTGAACACAGTACACCCCGATCTTTTGCAAAATCACGCCAAGTTGCGTACTGTCTGTTGGCCATCTCGGCATCTTGGAAGTTCCTCAAAACAAATTTGCCCATATATTTCTCGGCGGCATCTGGCGGCAAGACAGCGACGTCATTCATCCCCACCTTGACAAAGCCCGCCCTTGTCTGCTCGCAGTTCGTGAGGATCTTCGTTTTGCCCAGGAGCACGGTGAGTCCATATACCGAAGCCTTCTTTTTCAGGTCGACCAGCATTTTGCGGGCATCCGCCTTGCTCTGCGCGACAGCGGCACGTCGTCGGCGAAACGAAGGTTCGTGAGCGGTTCCCCTGTGTCGTCGATGACGAAGCCGTAGTACTGCTGTGTGCGCCGCTTGTAGAGAGAATGCCACCTTTCCTGGAGTTTCCTGAAACACGCCTCCATGACGACAATGAACAGCAGCGCACTGACAGGGTCGCCCTGCTTGACTCCCCGCGCCAAAGAAAAACTCCGGGATTCGACTCCAGTGGAGACAAAAACTGACTGATGGCCGATCTCCACCTCCTTCTCCTCACCATCTTCTTGTTCCTCCTCCTCCTCGTCGTCGTCCTCCTCCTCCTCCTCCTCCTCCTCTTCCTTCTCCTCCTCCGCCTCCTCCTCCTCCTCCTACTCTTCTTTCTCCTGCTCCTCCTCTGGAGCACCGGCGACCGCGTCCCAGAGCCGCCGAGTATCGACGAAAGCGTCCGAAAACCTCGGACCTCGAGCCTGCGCCGCCGGCGCCGCTGTGGCTGCGGCGTGTCTGGCGGCGGGGGGCCGCCGGGGCCATGGCGGCGCTGCCGGCAGCCGCCCAGCGCGGAGGCGCGCCGTCGTCTGGAGAGGAGTGCCGCGCACGGCGGGTGCCAGTCGTCGGTGCGATCGGAAGTGGTGCGGAAAGGCTGGGTGCGAAGACTCCTGCTCCTCCTCCCCCTCCTCCTCCTCCTCCTTCTCTCCTCCTTCCTCCTCCTCTCCTCCTCCTCCTCCTCCTCCTCCTCCCCCTCCTCCTCCTCCTCCCCCTCCTCCTCTCCCTCCCCCTCCTCCTCGTCCTCCTCCTGCTCCTCCTCCTCCTCCTTCTCCTCCTCCTCCTCCTCCTCCTCCTCCTCGTCCTCCTCCTCCTCCTCCACCTCCACCTTCTCGCTGTCGGCTCGCTGTCGGCGTCACCGCGATGGTATCTATTTGAAACTGAAGGCCGCCCGCACAACAGCGACCTCGGTCGGTTTTGGACAACCTTTGTTGTTGGGCATCGCACCGTCCTCTCCGTACACAACGTTAGGGGCAACCTTAGGGGGGCAACGTCAGGTTCGAGGTTCGAGGTTTTCGGGCGTTCTCGTAGGCTCCTGAACGCTTTCCATCGTCGGGAGGCGCTCCAGCAGCTGCGCTTCGCCGAGGACGTTCAGGGGTTGCCTGGATCGTCTCGCACGGCCGCCGGAGACCCGAGTAATTGCCCGAAGACCGGGACCAGTGAACGTTAGGGGGGAATTTGGCTCAGGGGGGATACACCGATTTTTAAGCTCCCACTCATCGCCGATGAGGGGCCTGACAGCCCACCCTGCCCAGGCCCAGGAACGTTCGGTTTCGCTATCGGGGGCCCATCGCCAGTCTATCGGCGCGACGTATCTCCGATTTCAGCTGGATGCTTTCCGCCCTGAGCTGTCCCCCCCCCTGACGTTGCCCTTCAGTGAGCGGCGAACATATTTATATGCACGCCCTCGCGGTCTAGATTCCTTGGCGCGATCCCATAGGCGAGGAGGAAGAGCAGAAGGGTGAGGAGGAGGATGAGATGGACGAGGAGGAGGAGGAGGAGGAGGAGGAGGAGGAGGAGGAGGAGGAGGAGGAGGAGGAGGGGGCCGTCGTGGTTCGAAATCCGTTCGGGAAGGTCCAGATGCTGCCACGTGTGAGCGCAGGGCCGCCGTAGTGCAGCTGCGCGCCGAACATGTGCTCGCGTGCCTCGTGCACTTCGGAGAGACCCTGGTGGAGGCCGTCAATGTCCTTGGGCCAGCGGGCGGCCTCCCGCTCCGCCAGGCAGCGCCGCAGGAAGACGCGCAGATCGTGAAACCGACCGTCTACGTGAGCTGCATTTCGTAATCGTGTGTGATTCCTCCGATCAGCTTGAGCAAGCAGGTTGGGACGGATGCCGAAGCCGAAAGAGTAATAGGTGCGTTTGACAGTAGTGGCGGTGCGACATTCAATGCCCAGCGCCCAACACGCTCGATCCAGCAGAGTAAACGGGCCAAATTTGTGACGTCGTCGTTGCGCCCACAGCGCACGCCACACATCCAAAGGTACGATATTGGCCAGGACGACCTGGTAGAACATGAGGATAGCAGTGTACACAGCTGCGCACGTCAAATGCGTACGGTGTGCGCCTGGCCCAAGCAGGTGGGTGAAGGCGCGTGATATCCGGCCCACTCGGCCGGGCGATGCTTTCCACATCAAGATACGGCGGCCCAGGCCGCGGCGTCCGACATCTGGCTCTTCGTAGAAGCATAGCCGCCGTCACACCAGAGTGCGGCCACGGCGTCGGCGACACCAGCGCCGCGCTGTGCATATGGCAAGATTCTGACGACGCCAAGGCGCTTTCGAGACTTGCAGCAGGCGTCGAGCAGCGACGGGCGCTGCCATCGGTGAGCCCAAGATGAGATCACGTCCAAGATATCTGAAGGTGTGCTGCAGTGGGATAGCCCGCAGCTCGGGGTCACCGCACTCTGGAGCGCGCCCCTGGGGCCGTGACCACCCCGCGGGCGCACTTCGGCACATTCAAGTCTGGGCCAGGGGCCCAGTCAATCTCGCGTGTGGCAGCCAGAGCAGCAGCGAGCTCATGCCACGAGAGCGCCAGAATGAACTTGTCCTCGAGGTAGGAGGCGAGCGTCGCGGCGGGTGCCGCCCGCTCTGCTTCCAAGTGTCACATGATCGAAGCTAGGTTGCATAGAAAGTATGCCATAGGACAGCCCTTGGGGACGCCGACGAGGTTGGCGTCCTGGAGCACGACGTCGGTCGTCTGGCGATCCACGTATGAGATACGGGACAGGTTCTGGTAGTTCCGCAGGACGTGTCCGCACATGTCCAGTACCAGGTGGTAGGTCAGCTCCAGCAGGTTGTACAAGTCCAGGATAATTTCGAATCCAGGAGTTGGGTCCCGTTAGTGGTCCCTTGGGCCATCAAAAACTGATCTGGGAGGAGCAGAAAACCCTGGTAAAGGGGTCGGGACTTTTGGGGCGGCATTTTGAAACATTCAGATCATTTTCGGAAGTCGTGGAACGCATGCATATCCGCCCTCGCCGTCTAGATTCTGGGGCGCCATCCAGTCGATGCGTGGTCGCATCTGAGATCCTGGCGTCGCATTTTTTCAAGCCGGGCGAAACCGCCCTTTTGTTTCGGACTTTGGGACCCTCACGGGTCGGTTCGGCTCGGAAAGTGCAGGAGAACGATGAGGTCTAGGGCTCCGATCGTTAATTTCGAGATGCTTCATTTTTCTGGTGACGTCATAGCTCAAGGCGCGTTCCGCGCGGGGCATCCGTGAAACACCGCTCCGTCTCCATGGGGTCGCGCCCCAGAGGCCCCGCCCGCGAGGCCGTGGACATGGACATGTTTCCTGCCCGCGAGCCTGCCCAGTTTTGCCCGCAATGGGAGTCATGGCGATAGGGGGCCAAGATATTGACCAGTCATCTGGTCGATGGTGAGAGTTCTTGGCCATGGTCCATGCCAGCAGTCGACGGTGCGCGAGGATGATCCACGACTTGACCATGACCGCGATGGATGATTACCAACATCGACACCAACGTTTCCGCGTGCAGTCTTGGTCATGATCAACTTCTGGGTTCTTTGTGAAGTTTTCGGCTGGTATCCGTCGTTTTTCGGATCTGCGCTCTGGGCGAACGCGCCGATTTCGGCCCGATCTGGGGTCCCAGATGGGCCAGAACCCGTAGTTGTCCCGGCCCCCTGCGGACGCTGCTGGCGTCGCAAATATACTTCAGCGCATATTTGCAACGGGCGGGGTGGGGATGAGCGGTGCGGTGGAAGTTGCGGAGGAGGATGAGGATGATGATGATGAGGAGGAGGAGGAGGAATAGGCAGAGGAGGAGGAGGAGCAGGAGAGCCCAGGTGGTGACACGGCCATCAGTAGCAGCAGCCGCGCCACAAAGCGAGCTTGGCAGAGGAGCCGTGGTAAAGCAGAGCGGCCGAGTGATTTGTCCAGGATCGTTAGAGCTCCTCTCCGAGAGGCTGCTCTGCAGAAGGCCTTCCGCTTGCCCTAGGCCCGTTGGAAGAAGGATCCGAAGCATTCGAGGGATCTATCCGTGAAGTACTCCAGGCTTGTACGGGTCTGATGCGTGGTCAGCTTTCCTGGCGGCAGTCGGCGGAGTAATGGACGTGCCCTGCAACACTGCGAGCCTGAAGTCCACCGTCTCAAATTGCATGTGCTCCAAGATCGCGACTCCGAAATATGTGCACTTTTTCGTTTCATGTTCGGCAGGATCCCTCGGGTATGCCGTCGGCGAGTTCGACGGCCAGGTCTGCACCCCCCCCCGCCCCCGTTGCTGCCGCCGCCCGCCCCACCTCCGACCACAGTATTCTCTTAGCTTACACCTCCCTTAGCTTTAAGCAGGGGTGTAAGGAACAGCGAGCCCCGTCCGAACCCGAAGCGGTCCTCATTTCAGCGTCTTGACTGTAGCCCGCTTGGTCGCCTGGGCAAGCAGGAGGACGCCGCGAGTCACTCGCCCTCCCTGCTTTCGCGGGGACACTCCGCTGGCGGGGCCACTGCCGTGCAGCCTAGACGCTGAAGGAAGGGCCAGGTTAGGTTCAGGAGAGGCTCCAGTTGTGGACTGCCCTTCAGATCTAGGCCGGGGATCCCCTGCGTGGCCGAGGCTCGCCGTGGTCAGCAAAGCGCCTTCGATCAGTATTTGGCGCTTCTAGTGGCAGTGCGGTGACGGTATCACCATTCTGGCCCTCCCAGGCCAGGTCCTTCGGTCGGGAAGTTTCTCAGCGTGTCGCCTCGCCGGTTCTGGCCCACCACGCTTCGGCGCGACACGCTAGCCACGTCCCCGTTCCCAAGCGTCAGCGTCCCGAGCTTTTGTCAGCCTCCCGCCCCGCGGAGCGGAGCGACACTCCATCCGCTCGCAGGGTCTAGCGTGTTTTTGTGACCTCTACCGCGACCCGCCAAGCAAAAGTTCCCAACTGTGAGCTTTGTTGGCAGGGTCATAGAACTGTCCCCCATCAGGCGTGCTTTCGTGGCATTGGCTGACACATTCTGGTGCTTATCTGCGAGGAAGTGGCCTCGGACAGGAAAGCATGCTGCAACATCGGTAATCCCAGATCTCCGACGATGATGATGATGATGATGATGATGATGATGATGATGATGATGATGATGATGATGATGATGATGATGATGATGATGATGATGATGATGATCATTTTTTTTTCTCATGCTGGGTGGTTTTCACTGATTTCGGCCTCCGGCACCCGTCATCGGGCCCGCGGGCCATCAAACGTGGTCCGGAACGACGCTTGCGAGGGAGCTCTGAGGGCGTGGATTTGCAACACTATATCGGAAGACGTTTGGGGCGGGATTCGGTCCTTCTGTTGTTGCTGCTGCTGCTGTTGCCTTCTCTTCTTCCTCCTCCATTTCCCTTTCTGGCCGACCGTCTTCGTGCTCTTGCTGAGCGAATCCGAACCAGGGAGGAGATGTCCAGGTACTTCTTGTGGTGGTCAATCGGATGTTCTGCCTCAAGCTGTCGTGTCCTTTCCTCCTCCTGCTCCTCCTCCTCGTCCTCCTTCCTCCTTCTTCCTCCTTCCTCCTCCTCCTCCTCATCTCCCTCCTGCTCCTCTGTCTCCCTCCCTCTCCATCGAGGTCACTGGAGGTTTCCAGAGGCCTCTGGAGGCTTCCAGGGGCCCAGGAAGGGCCCACACTGCAAAATCTTGATCCTCGATCCTCCTCTTCTTTCTTTCTCCTCCTCCTCCTCCGCTTCCTCGATCCTCGTTCCTCGATCCTCGATCCTCCTTTTCCTTGTTTCTCCTGGAAGAGGACTGGTCTGGCTGGGGCCGCGCCATCCTGTGCAGGTGCCAGCAGCCCCGGAGGAAGACCGGCGACGTCGTCGGGCACGACTGGAGCAAGCTGGTCATTCGGCAGGCGGATTCGGACAGGACGTCGCTACGGAGAGAGTGGGGGTTGGGATAAAAGATGAGGAGAAAGAGGACGAGGACGAGGACAAGGAGGAGGAGGAGGAGAAGGAGGAGGAGGACGAGGAGGAGGGAAGGAGGGAGGGACGGAGGGAGGGAGGGAGGGAGGAGGAGGAGGACGAGGAAGAGGAGGGAGGGGAGGAGAGAAGTGGAAGGGGGAGGAGGAGGGAGGAAGGGGGGTGATGATCATGATGGTAATGATGATTCTGATGATGATGCTGCTGATGATGATGACGATGATGATGATAATGATGATGATGGTGATGATGATGGTGGTTGTGGTGATGATGATGTTGACGATGATGGTGAGGATGATGACGATGATGAGGATGATGATGATGGTGATGATGATTGATGCTGATGCTGATGACTAAGATAATGATGGTGGTGATTGAGATGATGCATGATGATGAGGATGATGATGATGATGATTCTGATGCTGATGATGCTGATGGTGGTGATGATGATCATGACGACGACGATGATGATGATGACCATAATGACGATGATGATGATGCTGTTGTTGATGATGATGCTGATGGCTGATGACGATGGATGATGATGCTGATGATGCTGCTGATGATGATGCTTATGATGGTGAGGATGAGGATGATGATGATGATGCTGATGATGATACTGATGATGATGCTGCTGCTGATGATGATGCTGTTGTTGATGATGATGATGCTGATGACTGGTGACGATGGATGATGATGCTGATGATGCTGCTGATGCTGATGCTGATGATGAGGATGAGGATGAGGATGATGATGATAATGATGATGATGATGCTGATGCTGATGACGATGATGATGCTGATGATGATGCTGATGCTGCTGATGATGATGATGCTGCTGATGATGATGATGCTGATGATGATGATGATGCTGATGATGCTGCTGCTGATGATGATGATGCTGCTGATGCTGCTGCTGATGATGATGATGAGGATGATGATGATACTGATGCTGATGATGCTGATGATGATGATGCTGATGATGATGATGATGATGATGATGATGATGATGATGCTGCTGATGATGATGATGATGATGATGATGCTAATGATGATGATGATGATTGAATGATGATGATGATGATGATGATGATGATGATGATGATGATGATGATGATGATGATGATGATGATGATGATGTGCTGCTGCTGCTGCTGCTGATGATGATGATGATGATGATGATGTGATGATGATGACGATGATGATGCTGCTGCTGATGATGATGATGATGATGATGATGATGCTGCAGGAGGAGGAGGAGGAGGAGGAGGAGGAGGAGGGAGGAGGAGAAAGAGGAGGAGGAGGAGGAGGAGGAGGAGGAGGAGGAGGAGGAGGAGGAGGAGGAGGAGGATAAGGGATGTAGGAGGAGGAGGAGGATGTAGGAGGAGGAGGAGGAGGAGGAGGAGGAGGAGGAGGAGGAGGAGGAGGAGGATAAGGGATGTAGGAGGAGGAGGAGGAGGAGGATGTAGGAGGAGGAGGAGGAGGAGGAGGAGGAGGCTGAGACTGAGACTGACTACTTCGAATCCGGTTGGAAACGTTCGCCACGATGGGCGCGGAAGGCAGTCAAGGAGAGGCCGACTCCCGACTGCAGGGCGCAGAAACCGCGACGGAAACCAGCCCGCCACCAGGAGGGCGACGGGCGCCCCAGGGAGCACGGCCCCCAAAGGCCAATCAGGGACCAGGAGAGGGGGGCCCAGGAGTGCAGTCAGAAACCACCCCCTCCCCGTCCTTCTCCCTCATACCTCCTGCGCCTTGAGCAGCAAGACCTGGTGGTGCACCTTAGGCACCGAGGAGGGCCATGAGCTCGCCCTGGCACTCAGGCTGCGCCTGCATCCAGCCTAGGAAGCCCTCACGATCACCGCCCTTGGCCATGATCATGTCCATGCACTCCTCGAGAGTGGACTTGACGAATAAGGAGAGCTCCGTCGTAACGGCACTCCGCGCCGTAACGGCACTCCTCGTCGTAACGGCATTACTTTGTCTTGCTCAGGATCTCCACCTTCGAACTCGACAAACAGCGAGGACGGCTTCTCGATCTCCTCTTGAACTCCATCTTCTTGCTTGTCCTCCATGGGGTTCGGCCCATGGTCCATCTCCGCGTCCACGTAGCTGTCTGCGACGAGGGCCGCAGGCTTCTCCTCGAATATACCGTCGTCACCCTCACTGCGTTGCTTCTTGTTGGCGTGGGTGCCGCCCATGCCGAACCCGAGGCTGTCGACCACGTCCGCGGCGCCCTCGCAGACGTCGTCCTGGCTGACGCTGCTGACGCCGACCACCACGTCGGAGCTCAGCCGCCATAGGGAGTGACGCTCTTCACAAGCCCGTTCCACCTCGAAAGCCTCCTGATCCAGCGTGAGGACGGCGCTGAAGGAGTTCCCTGGGACCTCGTCACGGTGCCAGCAGGCCCAACCGTCTGCTGAGTTCTCGCCGCCCATGTTGAGGTACAGGTCGTCGTCGCTGTAGATGTCGTAGAGGTCGCTGTTCAACACCTCGGCGACCTCCTCACCCATCTGCAGGCCCTTGTCAGCGAAGTTCAATCCACCACCCTCGGAGGACCAGAGCGAGGACGGCTCCTCCGCTAGCGCTCTCGATCGTCCTTCTTGGGCTTGTTCTCCTTCCTCTCCTTCTTCTTTTTCTTCTTCTTCTTGGTATTGTCCTTCTTGTCCTTCTTCATGTACTGTGGCAACTGGACGCCCGAAGAGCTGTTGGCCCCGAGCCAGTCCGCCGGCATGCCCTGCTTCAGGATTGGCTCCACCACCGGCCTCGACGTGAGTCGCGCCCTCGTCGGAGGTGACGCCAGCGGTGCCTCCCAGTTGCCTGCGGGTGGCGAGGGCGGCGGCTCCTGCGCCTCGCCGTTCTGGATGGCCAGCAGCGGAGCCCTCGGCGGCCTGATCGCCGACGGCTTGGGCTGCGGGCGAGCCTTTGCGGAAGTCGTGACGGCCGCCACCGCCGCCGAAACCGCCGGAGTGACTGCCGTCTCCACGAAATTGTGCGCCTCCACGTTGCTCCCAACGTAGCGAGACGGGCTCTGCACCACCTCCATCTGCGAACTCGACTGCCGCCAGGGAGCCGAGTCGCGCCTTGACATGAAGGTTCGCTCTCTGCCAGCTCTGGGGGGCTGCGCCCCTTTCAAGTGCACACCCAGAAGACCCAACCTGGGCCGAAAAGGGGCTAGGAGGAGGATGAGGAAGAAGAGGAGGAGGAGGAGAACCAGTGTAAACCCAAGAGCCATCAACGATGTTGGAATACACCCTCCCTCCAAGCTCCCTCTTCATAGGCCCCTACAACGGTTCATTTCCATTGAGGGATCTGTCTCGTTGGAAGACAACCGTCTTGAAGACCCAGAAGCATGCCAAAACATTGTTCTTGGGATCCCAACGCCACGGATCAACCTGACTGTTGTGTCTTGACGATCCTGGATTGTGCCAGAACGCCACTCTTGGGTTTTAAACACCGCGAGTACAGTTTCTGGTACGCTGATCGTGCGAATCCGTGAATCTCTTGCAATTTTTGTAAAACGAATGTGCGCGCGGCTAAAGCAAGAGCCACATTTTGAAAAGGAACCGCCCCCAATCAGTGAACTCTTGCAATTCTTCAAAACGAATGTGCGCGGCGCTAGGGTGAGAGCCACATTTTGAAAAGGAACCGCCTTCAATCTCAGAAACTCTTGCAAATTTTAAGACGAAGGTGCGCGGCGCTAAGGCGAGAACCACATTCTGAAAACGGGTTATCATCAACCCGTTGCAACTTTTTAAAACGAATGTGCACCTCCAGCAAAATCGCGATCGCTGGATAGCCCAACCGCTTGCTAGCCTGCACCAGAAGCGCAACAAAGCTGATCTAGTTATACAATTTGGTCAAATCAAGGAGTTGCGTGGCCCTCTAAATATGGAGCTCCGCTGCACACTCATCTAACAAGGCCCTGGCCAAGGCGGCCCTGAGCGCCGAGCTGCCAGCGATGGCAGTGTCCCAGAAGGCCCCTTTCTTCGCGCACCACTCTGCAGATGGCGTGCCTCGGACTCGGCTCCATTCCTTGATCGCGTGCGGCAGGAGGCCCAAGATGCGGTGTCCTCCCGCCTCCTTGGGGATGGCAGCTCCCGGGGAGGCCGAGATGGTAGCAGGCCATGCTCCAGTCTGTCTACCCGATTAACGAGATGAGCAAGTTGCCGCCGTCCTGGGTCAGGTAGGCGTTGAACGTCACGCGGCCCAAGGGCGTCTATGCCCTGAGCCGTGTTGGCGGTCGTGATCTGCAACGCTCGATTCACCTCCTCCAGAGAAGCCGAGGAAGCGCCTCATCAAGAGAGTCCTTCCAGAACACGTCGAACAGAAAGTTGATGTCGGCAACTGTATCGACGTCCTCCTTCCAATGTCCTGCCCGCTCCCCGCTGGTAGCTTCTAAAATTCGATGAGTATCTCTGGTGACTGCTCACGTGCCGTCCTTGGCCTCGAAGTCGGGGGCCGACGGATCCTTTGCGTGGCGGTGGACTAGGCGTGGCTTGGCCTTCCACTGGTGTTAAGCCCACGCCATGAAGTTGGCCCGTAAGGCCAGGGAGCACGACCTTGAGCTATGCCAGCCCACCTGTTGGCAATATTGACAAACCGATCGAAAGTACTGTCATCCAACACGCGCAGCGATGCAGCATCCTGGCACCAGGCTCCCGCTAGCTCAGCCGTAGTCTTCTTGCCAGAGTACGCGTCCTTCGCCGTGTGATCAACGGCCTGAATATGACGATACAAATGGCTGAGGCTACTCGTGACCTGCTCTGGGTCTCGGTTGGATGCGCGGAGGGAAGCATGCCGCTTGATGAGGGTAGTCGCCCCCCCCGCCATTCAGAACATCAGTTTCGCATGTGTGTGCGAGGGGTGGCCTGGCGGCGGGTCCACCTGACCAACGGCCCCGAGGCTCTACCGACAAATGACGGGCGGCGCTGCTCCGAAATCTTCTCAGCTCGAAGGACGGCTCCTTCGAGCGCGCTGACGCAGCGAGCACGCTCATCGGTGGCGGCCGCGCGGCGATCTGCTCCCCATGTGAACACCTGGCGAGCACCTGGGTCGAACGCGTCCGACGGGCCCCGCATCGCGCGACGTAGCAGACATGGGTCCGCGGGGGAGGCCCTCGACCCCGTCGCAACCGACGATGGGCCCCGCATCGTGCGACATAGGAGAGACAGGATCACCGGGCCGATGCGCAGGAGCAGCTGACGCAGGGCCCCAAGAGGCCTCGCGAGGCGGCACGCCTTGCCCATCCTCAGCCAGACCTCCCAGGGCCACCACGGTCTCGTCCGCGGCGGTCCACCTGGCCGAGCCCTGCGAACGCTCTGCCAGGGAATCGGGAGCAGCGCAACTCCCAGATGCGCAATCAGAAGCCTTGGGTCCGCGGGGAAGGCCCCCGATCCCGTCGCGTCCGATGCGTCCCACATCGCGCGACGTAGCAGACGTGGGCCCGCGGGGGAGGCCCCCGACTCCGTCGCGACCGGTGGGCCCCGCGTCGCGCGACATAAGACAACTCCCAGATGCGCAATCAGAAACCTTGAGTCCGCGGGGAAGGCCCCCGACCCAGTCGCGACCGATGGGTTCCACATCGCGCGACGTAGCAGACGTGGGCCCGCGGGGGGGGCCTCCGACCCCGCCCGTCGCGACCGACTGGTCCCACATCGCGCGACATAAGAGAGGGGCGTGCACAGGCTCGGCAGGAACAGGGCCCCAGTCAGCCTCGCGAGGGGGCGCAAGGTTTGCCAGTCCGTGACAAAGCCCCCCGAGGTTGCCCTGTCCACGTCCGAGGTGGTCCACCTGACCATATCCCGCGAGCGCACTGCAAGGGGATCGGCATCGTCCAGGAAGTCGAAGGGGTCGAGGTCTGCATCCATCTTGGAGGCCCTGCAGGCCTGGCCAGTACTGACATCTGTAGTCCCAGCACAGGTAGATGTCCCAGCGCAGGGAGGGGCCGGTGTCGAGGTGGCGCGCGCGCCCATATCGAGTGCCTCCAGCGATTCACCGACGGGGCGGACTGTGGGCCTAGGGCCCAGGGAGTGCCGACCTCCCGAGGGTGTCTCCACCTTCTCTGGCACTGCTGTCAGGGCCGCGGCATGGGGGCGCGATGTACCAGTAGTGGCATCCAGTAGTGCAGCAGGTGAACTGAACCAATCAGACTCGGAATCATGAAACGTGGCAGGGTTCCTGTAGACCTCTGCCTCTTGGTCCGCCTGAAGCTCTGCCACCGCTAGAAGTCCATGCTGTATCTAGGGTGGGAGGGTGTTCAGCCAATCACTGTTGCCGCTTATTGTCAGGGTCAGGCAGTGGCTTGGGTCTCGGCGTGGCTGGCAATGGCTTTGGCGCGGGCAACTGCGTGGCCCACCTTTCCTTGCGAGCACCGGGCATGCAGACATTGAGCGCGCAAATCTTCTTCCAAGCGGCGCAAAGGTCAGCAGTGACCTTGAATGGGGGACGATTCATGCTACAAGCAACGTAATCGTACATCCTTCCTTCGCCCTTGGTCGCAGGTGACCAGCGCGTCGGGCAATTCCAGTCGTCCAGATATCTGTTGCAACCAACCATTGTCACGAAAGGTCTTTGGCTCAGCATTCCATTCCGCAATCGCAAGCATGGGTCATTCAATCCTTTAGTGAAGGCCGCCACTGCAATCGTGATGTCGTTATTGAGGCCACGCAAGAACAAACCATTCCCAGTCTTCGTGTGTAAGTTATGGGGAGCAAGCCCTTCGCAGAGGTCAGCGCGGCCTTCATCCCTCAGCCTGCTGCGCATGCGATTGAAAGAAGTCGTCGCAGCATGCTTCCGTGAAAGGATCCATTCGCCCCCTGAGAGGCCTTGATCTGGCTTGCCCGAGGGTCGGGCTGGGGTAGCGTGGGACTGCCACCCGTCCTTGGTCGTGCTCGATCTTGGGGAGATCGGCGGGGTCCTTCTGGGTCTCACCAGGGCCACGACTGAATGCGAGTAGACGTGTTCCGTGAGGAACAGATGGGCCGTCAGGCCCCATTCTCTGATATTGGCAAAGAAAATGTCAACGCTGTCTGATGCCTTCGCTGCCTTGCTGCTTGTCAGGCTAAACGCGCTGCCCAGCGTCAGCGCCAGCATCAGCCTTGGAAGAGCCTGGAGACTTGGCAGCCATCCGCCTGGCCTCGGCCGTGGCCTTGGCGATGGACTCGATCTGGCGGTTGCGCTCCTCGACGCTGATGGGAGGGGTCTTGGGCGAGCTGGGAGCTGGGGCGCCTCCTCCAGCGTCTGCTGAGCTGCCATCGCCTGCGGATGCTGGGGCTGCCTCCTCATCCTCCACGACTAGGGCGGCGCCGTCTTCTGTCTCGCGCTTCTTCTTAGGCATCTGCAAGGCCACCTTGGCAGCGGCCCGGAGGTCACGAAGCTCCTGCTCGCGATGCTTCGCCTGTCCCGCGACGGTCTCAAGCTGCTGCTGAAACTTGCGAAAGCTCGCCTGGTCGGACTCCTCAAACTCATCTAAGCACTTGAAGAGTTTGGGATCGATCCCGAAGATGGACCC